AACTTCTGTAGCGATTTTCTCGCTTCGGGATCAATATTTCACAGCGGGACCTGGGCGATCACCTAATCAGGAGCCCCGCTATTAGACTATTAGACAGCATCAAAATCACAAAATTCTCATTTTGGATGAAAGGACCCCCTTTGATTACCGTAATCCCTTAAGAAAGAACTTGCCGTGGAGCTTTTTGTTCTCTCTGGCGAGTGCTTCCTTCTGCTCGACGGCCTTCTCGTATAGATGCTTCATCTTTTGCAATTCAGCATTGGCAGCACGAAGCTCACGTTGGGCTGCTTCCAATTCCACATTCAACTCATCGATGCGAACCTTCAGTTCTGCGCACTGCTTCTCAAGCTGTTCTTTAGCTCTCTCGAGGATGGCAATGGTGTTCTGTGCCTTCTCCAAGTCGACAATCAACACCTCAACCTCAGACTGAAGTCTGCTCTTGGCCTTCTCAAGCTGGCTAATCTTCTGGAGCATGATCTCGATCTGTTCTTCGTATTCAGCCTGCTTCTGTAGCATTTTCTTGCGGAGGTCTTCGACTTCTTCCTGGTGCAGAGCGACTTCAGCATCGAACTTGCTCTTCCACTGGGTGATCTCAGTGTTGGCAAGGTTCAGCTTATGCTCGGCATCCGAACGAGCAATCGACTCCTCGTCGAGAGCAGTACGGACAGAGTCAAGCTCGAGTTGGACTTGGTTGAGCTGAGATTGGAGCTGGGAGCGTTCCTAAAATCACAAAAAATTATTGCACTTCCATGAGAACTTCTGTGATTACGGACATATAGCCTTCTCCCAAACAAAACATGATTACTGGTCTTCTCACGCCCTTCCTTCTACTCCGTGATATGATGACTGTTGCGCTCAAAAAGCAGCTATAATTCATCGCACGCAAAGACTGTCTTCCGCTGCTCCGATCAAGATAGTACATGATTAGAGGAGGTAACAGACGGTCAGAGGAATGAGAGTGCGTTCGATTCGAGAGATGCCGACAGCGTTCGCGGCCCTGTCTTTGCGCGTATTCAATCACCTATCAATTTTCTCAGAAGTAAAAGACCCAAGTAATTTGGGGGGG